ATATTCCTGCATTTTTTTAGTTCTCCGTGTGTGTCTCTCCACCCAGACTATTCAATGAAGCATGAATTGCCTCCATTTTCTGTCTATTAGTGTGATTGTTACCTGGTGTCCAAGAGGTGTTCCAGTTTTGCTCCAAACTATGGCCCTTTCTCAGAGAATTACCCCACTAGTTAACCTGGGAAACAAAACAAGGAACTTCCTCGGTCATCATCTTTGATCACACAATCCACATCATTTCTCCTTCAGGGTGCCAACTGCCAGACCTGTTCACAGTGCTCTCTTGAATCTTTCATCCCTATTCTTCCACATCATCTCTCACTAAATCTGCCTTTCTCTGAACATTTTTTCCCACTGCATTTTCTTAAAAAAACAAAAAAGTATTTATTACATCATCCTTCATTTTTGTACAAAGTATGATTTCCTGGTGAAATTCCCACCATCTAGTCACCTGTGCACCATCACCAGAGACAGAGTGGGTAACAGAACAGGCAGATCGACGAAGTACACTGCTGAGGGGAGCAGCGGGCAGGTCAGGAGAGGTCTGCCGCGCCATGTGGTCACCTCCGGGGCAGGCGGGGATCGAACTCATGCTGAAGCGGCTTTAGATTCTCAGTGCTGCGCTTTAACTCGCTGTGCCACCAGGGAGGGCCTGATTTTTGATTCTTAAATGATCTTATCTATGATTAATGGGAGGCTCTTTGAGTTAGCTCTTGTCTTTTGACACACTAGTAGACTTTGTTAATTCCTAGTTGTAAATAAATTTATACAATGTCTTAAAGGAAAAAAATGCATCATTTACATTTCTCATTCAAATTAAAGATCATGGGGTTCTAACTTTGCTTTTAAATTATGATTTTTCTTATTTTCGATACATAATTAATTCTATCAGCTGTTACTTGATCTATCCATCCATTATCTTTTCTCTGTACCCATCTATCATCATCTATCTAAATAATGTAATTACAGCTATCACCAAGACCACTCAGTAGTTTAAATTTCTTTGTGTTGTCTATTCCATTATCCCTTAGAATGACTCACTTAAAATTATTCTCCACATATTTAGGTGAACAATGCAAAACATGTTTATGGTCAATGGTTTGTTTTTACAATTTAGGGAATGGTTTTATAGTCAAATATTGTTAAATCTATATTTGAACAAGGCATATTTGAACAAGTTTAATTTCCACCCTTCAGGACTGCCTTTTCCTTTCCCAACAAGTAACTGCTTAAATGTTTTTGAATACTACCTCCTTTCTAAATGCAGTTAATATACATACACTTGTGCACAGTCTGCCTATCTTACTTAATATTATGGAGATAAAATTACAGAAGTACATAGCTTAATTCCATTTAACAGAAACATTAATACTTCGATGTAATGGATGTATCAGTTTATCTTACATGTCATATATCTGTCATATCACAATTGCACCTTATAAAACATTCATGTAATCCAAAGTCTTAAGTCACTATTTTGGGTTGGCCCCACTCCTCACCTAGGGATTTAGTGTTGGATTACTAAACAATCTTTTTTTATGATATGTGAATACTTGCTGCTTATAAAAGTTCTTTTAAAAATACAGAAGTTAATTTCTCTTACATTTCTATCAATTCCAATCTCTCTTTCCAACATAACAAGTTACTACTTTAGTATGGTACACTCCTCAAATTTTGATGATGTGTACAAATATATATGCAATACATATAGGGTTTTGTTTTGGTTTCTACAAATAATATTCTTACTTTTCTGTGACTTGATTTTTAAATGTCATGAAGTTATGGACATATCTTACCCTTTTAGCAGCTGCATAGTATTCTATAGAACTCATACATTAACATTTTAATTCTCCTTCTAGGGAACATTTCCAAAATTACAAATTTTTTTTTATTGCAGTAGTGAGTGGCTATGCATTTTTGTGTGCAAAACTCTCCACAAGCTACATTTCAAAAAGTGGAACAGCTTAATCAAATTATATCTGCATCTAAATTTTAGATTGTACTGCCAAACTGCCCTTCAGAAAATCTAAAACAAACTTGTACTTGGAATAAATGAATGCCTATACCACTAAACACTCACCATTCTGGATATTGCTAATCTTTTAGATTCTTCCAGCTTGGTGTTGGATTTATATTGTTACAATGCCCATTACTTTGGTATATTAAAATATGATCTAGATTAAATTCCGGGAAAATTATTTTACCCTTTTAAAGAGAAAAATTCTATATTGATATGAGAGTAATAATATGTAATAGGCATTAGAAGTGGGAATAGAAAATTAAGAGTTATTTCACCTTTTCAAGGTCTACAGACAAATCCTCTGGTGGTAAATTGGTAGTCCTGCCTTTCTTTCACACATGAAAATCCTGACCAGAACAATTCATTCATGCTTGTAGACCAGTAAGTGTCCATTTCTAAACTGTTTCTTTTAGGGATCAATGTCTCACTGATAGGAGGATTTGCATATGCAATTTCTATTAACATTAATAGAAATTGCCAGCATAAACACCCCTGATGTCATAGGTGAAAAGACCCTACATTCTGCTAGGATCCAAGTTCATGATTACATATCAAATGGTGCTTACTACAAGTCATCATCACCAGAAAGAGCAGATAAGGCAACGTATGTGGTAAGGGCATTTCATTGCGGACCCACAGCTAAACTGTAGTAATGAAAAGAACGGTGGCATTCAAAAGGTGAACTAGGATGCTAAGCATTAAACCATTTAACTGGCATTTTTTAAAGCCACAATTATACAAGAATTGAAACATATGAAAGCACTTTTTTTTTTAGCTTCAAGGTGCTTGAAGGATAATATAACAACTTGCTTTAAAATTCAATTAACCTTATCATTCTTCAAGATGGTTTGTGAATAATTGCACAGATAAATTGTGCTTTAAAGAATCCTGTTATCTTTTGAATGTGTCTTGTCTAAGGAGTTTCAGCAATTACTTGAAATTGGCAGAAAATGTAATTCTACTTTAATCATTTCATTCACGAACACATCATAGTTTAATGAATTATTTCTGCATAAAAGAATATCAACTTTTTTTTTGTCTATTGTAAGTAAACTGCTAGAGACTTGAACATCACAGAGAAAACCATTTCAGGTTCTCAAGTAAATATGAAAAACATGACTTATCTTCACACAATGAGGTGTGAAAATAATCTCTATGCAACAAATTTAAAGTCAGAGCCCATGCCTCTCAGCACTGATCCCAGTAAGGCCTGATGCTAGCATCTAGAACAACTCGCTGAGTAAATCCTATCTGTGTATCATTTTTCACTGCCTTTCTAACAAGCATGACACAGTGAATAGATGCCTAGAAACAAAACCAAATATACAATTTACTCAGTGTTTAAATAATAGACTTATATAAACTAATAAATCAGTTCCAAGAGAATTTAATTTCTTAGCATGTATGCAAAATGCTAATGATAAATAAATAGGATACCACATTTGAAAGTCATTAAACAGACTTTTATTTACACTGAAAACTTACTGTAACAGTGTGCAAAATATGAATAATCATATATTTATGTTTTCTGAACTGTATAAAAGAAAAAAATCTGAGAAAAATATTCAATACCAATAGCAGTTAATAACTTATTTATAAGAATATTATGTAATTCCTGCTTTAAAAGATCACTAGTATTTAGGAAAAAGTTTCAAAAAAATTTTTTTTAGGTCATTAGAATTTTGGACAAAGGGCTGCCTTCCCAGGAAGTACAGTTGCCACAGAAATTAACTAGTAGCATGGTTATTATTTTAGACAATGGTCTGCTAATCTCAAACTACTGCTCTCGAAGTTAATCATTCATGTGGTCGGTTTACTATGAGCAAGTTTGTTTAACTAAGTTGACCTACAGAAGTATTTGTGTGTGTGTATTTGGGGGGAAGAGGCGCATCAACTAGAAAAAACATAGTAGCAACAGTAATTTGTTTTCATAATGTTCATTAAACTCAATGGTATTACCATTTTTGTTTAATTAGAAGCATATATAACATTTTAAACACATAAACGAAAATTCTTTGATAATATAAATTTTCAAATTTTCAAATTAGCTACTAAAATCTCTGCATCATGTATAACATATTAAGTTTATTCATAAGACTATGGTCCTATAATTTTAAAACAAAACTGAAAGGCTATTCTTTAGACACAAAACTAAGAAAACAAATATTTGTGATAATTATGATAGCAGAAAATAAAGTTCTTAGAATAATTTCTATTACATTCTGAGACAACAGGAAATAGCTAAAGTTATCTAACACAAAGTTTTCAACAGTTGTGTAGTATCTTAATCATCATTAGTCATATTCAGGAGCTTTTACACATTTGAACAATACTTAATAAATAACCTGGAATATAGATTCTGATGTTAGCTACTGGATTAAATAGGGTATACTATGGAGTGGGCCAGCAGACCACAGTTATTTCCTCTTCATTGTTCTACATATAGATAGTTGCAGTAAGACTATCAGACCGTTTCTAGTTTTATTCTGGGGTTACTCTGATTGGCTGTTGATAACAATATGCATGCTGCATTCAAGTGGCAATAACTCTAAGACTATACACAAAGTACAATATCTTAATTGGTGCAACTTACTGCAATTATATTCAGACTAAACTCTCATACAGGGAAGACTTTTATACTGCTGGTATTGAGAGGCATGACCAATCCCCAGTGCTTATATATAAGTATTGTGCATTTAGTATATGTTAGAGTTGTGTTTGAGGAAACACAATTTAACTTAAGAAAGATATGAACACATTTAACAAAGTAGATTATAATATGATATATTGTCCCTGATTTGTATAATATTTAAAAAGGTGAAGAGAGGGAGAGGTGACTATAGAGATAGGATAGGAACTATACAAAAGGTGGAAGGGTTAGGAGTAGCTTGAAGCCTAGAAATGTTTTTTTTTTTTTTTTGTCAGCAATATCAGTAGCGGTTTGGAAAGATGAAGCAAGCACAGCATTCCTTCATTCTTTCCATTTCCCCATGAGTGTGTGAGGTGACAGATCTAGCTAGCTTCCCTTCAGATCTTTTTTGAAACATGTAGGTCAGATTTCACATGCAACTGAAATGTGTAAGAACTATGTGCTTTCTACTGTAGTCATGGATCTATGATTAGAAATATAGGCCATATGCATGATAATAAACTTAATATATTTATCTCTTGAAATAAATTTATATTATCATTGAAAAGAAGATAAACCAAGAGAGCCCAGTATTTGAAAAAAAATTAATATAGGCACTATCATTGTATTAGATTTGCTGCCTATGTAAAGACCTAACATTTTAATGTTAACTCCATATTAGGGCTTACTGAATGTCATCAGTCCTTGGCGGTTTGAAGTGTACCTTTCTGAAAAAGACTATGAAGATTCATTGTTTTCCCAGTAAACATTTCAAAACTATAATGCCACAATTCTATGTTCACTATCTATAAAACACTAATTTAGGAAACAGGTTTTCATTTAAAAAGCATAATGTGATAAAAAACAATATGATGTATTTAGTTGGGGGAGTTATAGAACATTATTTGTTGTTTGAGATTTCTGGTATTCATTCCCAAATCAACGGCAAAATTCTGAAACTTTCCTGAGAAAAAAACATTCTGAGAATGACACTGCATCTATCTTCAAAACCAGTCTCATACCTATTTCCATCTTACATATGGAAACACTGAGGCCCAGAAGCTAAACAATTGGTCTAGTATCAGCAACATAGCAAGGACTCAATAAAGTCTACACACTGTTAGGCCAGTGCTTAGATTATGTGACTAGACAGAAATGCCAGCTACAGATGAGTCTATGCAAGTTTTTCCACTCTTCATTACTGAGTTTTCATTATTGAGTTTTCCTAGTATGTAAATAATTCACATACAAATATATTGCTAACATTACAAAAACTGAATGGACTCATGATTTGTTTATAGAACTGTCTATATAATTTAATGGCATTATTTTCAATAATTCTCAAGATAGAAAACAAAATAAACCTCTATTCCAAACATAGGTTCTGCCTGAATAACAATACTTAAGTTTTTCTCAACAATTACATCTAGGTTTTCTTTTTACCATGTGTCATTATGCTGCTACCAACAAAGAAATATAATTCAAACGATCAAAGGAATTACGTGAATCAAGTCTGAAGATGTGGCTTTCAAAGACCTAAAGTAGCAAGCAAAAGTCCTAACACCACAGAATATTAACAATATATATTTCATATCAATGCTAGATATTAAAGTGATTTTATACACATGAATTCATATGAAAATGATTTCACTTTCATATCTAGATATATTACTGGGAATCAATTCACCTGTAATTTTTATCTGCTAATTCCACAAATTTGGTATCTTAAAGCACACAATATATTTTACAAGTGTTTTGTGTTCTCAGAATGTCCTCTAAAATTAAAATCCCCTTTTGGATTTCTATGATTTTTCTATCAGTAATTTCATATGTCAACTGGCTATTGCTTTCTAACATTTTTCAAAAAGTTCTTCCAATAAGAAGACTATGAAAACTAGGAGGAATTTCCAAAGTAGGGTATCCAATTTGGTGTATATCCATTATTCTGAAGGCTCTTCTGGGTTTTCTAGACACGAGTTTTCCTTGGGAGGCTCTGAGTTAGCCTCTGATATGGCACTAAATTCTGAAGCTTCTGGTTGTAAACTGTCTCCATCAAGGATAATGTCTTCAGGATTTGGTGGGGGTGGACAGAAGTCTTCATTGGGACAGATTTGCTGGAAAAGCATTTCAGCCTGGTCAGGAAAGAAAGGATACAACAGTTTTTGAACATCACCTTAAAAATATATATATGGTGTTTTTGGCACTAAACAGTGAAGCACCTGTCTTAAAATGTTTTGTTATAAAACTTTATTCAGCATATATGACCTTCTAAAAATCTGCTTTCAGAATTCGAAGACTTCTCTACCTCTAATGCAATACATGTATCAGATTTACCCTTCAAGTATTTCAGTATGTGATCAGATTCTTTATCAAGAGTTTAGATAGTTGATAATTTAAGAATAGTTATTCTACATGTCAACAGAAAAGTGATTTCCCTTAATATTGTTTATATCAGTTGGCCATAGAGTCTATTTGTGATACATAGTTTAATTTGGCATATGACAATATTAACAAATCATTGTTCAAATCAATGTCTTCATAGTTTCCTTATCTGTTTGCTTTTCTGTATAACTTTCTTCCTCTGGGCTTTAAGGAGTCTAACACAGCATTTAAGATCATATACTCGAATAGACAGCCATGCCACTTGGCAATGATGTGATATGGGGATGCTTACTCAACTTCTGAGCCTTTCTTTCCTGGTCTATAAAATGACACAGAGCTTCCATAGATATATGGGAGCTGTTACTACTCATAAAATAACTTAAAATGTTAAGTCTTAAGCTAAGCTAAGGCTGTCATGATAAGAAAATAACAAGTAAATGGCAAGTAGCATTGCTACTCTTTTCTAAGCATATTCCTACTTTTTATCTGGACAAAGATATTTTTTAACTAAATGAGTTAATAGTTAGTTAAGGGTCCCTGCCATACCAGGGAGTTCACACTCTATCCTTTTGGTCAAAGAAAGTCATTAAAGGGCTTAAGACATCATGTTTACTTTAAAGTCAATCATATCTTTCTGTACTGCTTCAAGCCTTCCTAATGTACACACAAAGCGACCCACTAGGTCAGAAGTTGACAACTATGATACATACCTAAAATTAGCCTGTTACCAATTTTTGTAAATAAAGTTTTATTGGAACATAGTCCTATCATTTCTTTAACTGTTTTCTATGGCTGTTTCTACACTGTGATGGCAGAATTGTATTGTAATAGAGACCATGTGGGCTGCAAACCATAAAAATATTTACCTTCTCATCATCTACTGCATTAGTCACCTTCAGTATTCTTTGCAAGTAGGTGGAGAAGTAGTAAACATATTTTGAGCTCTGATATGGAATTGAATGGAAGGACTGGGCAAGAAAAATAGTTTCCCTCTTAAATCTGATTCAAAGGTATACTTTTGGACATGCTGTTTATTATGATATTTTGATATTAAATATTTGAGATGCCTGCTTTGCTATTTACTCTAGTAACTCAACATTTGTCTCATCTAGAGTCATGTAGCCTCGAGAAGCAGGACTGAGATCAGACTGATCCTCTACTTCATACTTCAATTCCTTTAGTGACCATTTTATCCTGTAGCTCTACCTTTTCTGTTTTAAGCAGTCTCCCTCAATTTTACTCAGTGTTTACAATCAAGCACTGAATCCTGTCAATTTTAACTCCTAGTTCTTGACATCATCCGCTCCTTCCCTACTGATACAGACCAGGCATCTTTCTTCTACATGACTGCAACAATTCAGAACTAAACTGGTCACCTTGCCTCTAAGGTTCCTCCACGTAATGCATTTCCACACTACCCTCTGAGAGATAAATGGAATAGATGCTGCAACAGCATTTGATAAGATTCAAAATCCATTTATGATGAAAAGCCCCAAAAAGCAGAGAATAAATGGAACATATGTTAACATAAGTCATATATGCAAAACCCACAGTAGCAACATTCTGATTTGTGAATAACTGAAAGTCTTTCCACTAAGGTTCTGTACAAGACAAAGAGGTACACTCTCTCACAATTACTCAACATAGTATAGAAAATCCTCACTACAGGAATTAGGTTAAAACATGATACAGAAGGAATTCAAAATTGAGAAAGGAAAAATAAATCTATCATTCAATGCAGATGGTATGAAAATATATACTAAGAACCCTAAAAACTCCATGGAAAACTAATTAAAACAATAAACCAGTTCAACAAAGTAGCAGTTTGCAAAAGCAATATACAAAAATCAGTTGTTTTCATTATATGCAAACTATGAGGTAGAAAGGGAAGTAATTAAGAAAACCATTTACAATCACATTAAAAGAAAATTAAAATACCTTGGAGTAAACCTAACAAAGGTGGTAAAGGACCTATCCAAGGAAAACTATAAGATATTGTTATAGGAAACAGAAGACAGTATTAAGAATTGGAAACTTAGTTGCTGCTCATGGGTTAGAGGAATCAACAATGTCAAAGTGTCCATCTTATCCACAATAATTTACAAATTCAATGTACACCCGATTAACAAATCATTAAAAATCACAATGGCGGGCCCTCCCTGGTGGCACAGTGGGTTAAAGCACAGCACTAAGAAGCTAAAGCCACTTCCGCATGAGTTCGATTCCCGCCTACCCCGGAGGTGACTACATGGCGAGGCAGACCTCTCCTGACCTGCCCGCTGCTCCTCTCAGCAGTGTACTTTGTCGATCTGCTTGTTCTGCTCCCCTCTCTGTCTCTGGTGAATCCTCTCACCATCCACATCTCTCTGGCCTGTACCCCAGTTCCATATGAATAAATAAATAAATCTTTAAAAAAAATTACAATGGCATTCTTTCAAAGAAATAGAACAAACATGTCATTTGTGACTCACAAATGACAAATGAAATTATTACAAAAGACCCTCAATAACTAAAGCAAAACTGACAAATAAAGGGGAAATATGTGTGGATTACACTTCCAGATCTCAAAGTACACTATAAAGCAATAATAATTGAAACAGCATGGCACTACAACAAGAAGAAATACACAGACCAATGGCATAGAATTAAAGACCCAGAAATAAATACCTCTATATATGCACAGCTAATCTACAGCACAGGTATGAAGATTACAAAATGGAAAAAGGAATGCCTCTTCAATAAATGGATGAAGAAAATTAGAATGCTACATGCAAAACAAACTAGACCACAATCTGACAAATACAGTAAAATTACTACACAATGGATAAAAAAACTCGGATGTAAGACCTGAACTCATAAAAATGCACAGAAGTAAGCAGGCAAAACACTCCAAGACATAAACCTGAGAGATATCTTTACAGATTCACTCCAGCAACAAGGAAAATAAAATACGGACAAGTGGGACTACATCAAACTACTGTTTATGAAAACAAACAGAAAAAGCTTCTACAAAGTGAAAGATACTATAAATGAAACAAAAGACATCTTATTGGAGAAAATATTTGCACATCTCACAAGGGGCTGATACCCAAGATCTACAAATAACTCATACAACTCAACAACAACAAAAACATCTCACAAGGGGCTGATACCCAAGATCTACAAATAACTCATACAACTCAAGAACAACAACAAAAACAATCAAGAATGGGCAGAAGAGTTAAACAGGCACTTCTTCAAAGAAGACACACCGATGAGCAATAAACACATTTTTAAAAAGCTTTTCATCACTTATCAGAGAAATGCAAATCAAAACTACTATGAGATAACGCCTTCACACCAGTGAGAATGGCCAATATTAAACAGACCAGAGGCAACAAGTGTTAGGAAAGAGCTGGAAAGAAAAGGAACCGTTCCTCTTATCATGATTGGTGGGAATATTCACTGGTCCAATGGAAAGCAGTATGGCGGTTTCTCAAAAGACTAAAGATAGATTTGTCATACGACCCAGTAATTTCAATCTTAGGTATCTACCCTAATAACACAAAGACACTAATTTGAAAGGAAACCTGCACCCCTGTATTTGTAGCAGCACTATTGACAAGGTACTGAAACAACCTAAATGCCCAAAATATAAAAATTCATAACGATGTATATATACATAATGGAATACTACTCAGCTATTTAAAAAGATAAACTCATTCCATTTGCAGCAACATGGATAGAATTGGAATGGCTTACACTAAGTTAGATAAGCCAACAGGAGAAAGATAAATACTGGATGGTATCACTTATATATGGAATACAGAGCAACCAAAGGGTCAGAGAAAGGCGAACTTTAAGACCAACGCCTGAAAACTAACCATAAATCTTTGGCTTTTAGAGGGGGAAAGAGAAGGAGAGGGGTAAAAACAGGCATTTTTGGGAAGAGAACATAACAGACTATGGTGGAAGACTATGGGTACTTCACTGGTGGGAGTGCTATGGTGATCACACCTGAGGAGGGAAGTACTATTCTTTCAAAACACTACCATAATGGTACTTTTACAGCAATAAATAAGTTTAAACATCTTCCAGTATAAAAAAAAAAGACAACAATACAATCGTTCTTTAAATCTTCTAACTTGTACTTTAGACCACATTAGCATCTCTATAATAAGTCCTCATTTCAAAGTTCCCATTTTGGTTAAAAAAATTAAATACCTATAATTCACATACCATGCTATAAACCAATGTTAACCTGAATAAACAGAATTAAGCACAAAAAAACCCCATGTTCAGAAAAATTAAAATTCATTTTGGAATAAAAATGCTTTAAGTTACCTGGCTCAAAAACTGTTGACAATTTCTGCCTGAAAAAAATTGGAAGATCAAAGCAAAAGTGACTTGGTAATTTTAAGTTATAAATGCAGACCTTGAACCATCTTATTAGGTCCCTATTAAAGTAATAGAAAGAATGATGGACGAGAGATGTGCTTTGCTACTTTTGTTTGTTATCACTAGCTGAACATGATTATCAGGATCATCATTAGAATTTGAAGATGAGAATCAAAGATGACAAAAACTGTAAATGTATGGGTCATGGCCTTGCTGCTATGACTAAAAACTTAAGGCTTAAGAAGACCATTTTCTGTTATAAGAGCCCTGACACTAGTTGAAATGAAATTTCCATCTGTGGTCTTAAAACAATGTGAAATTATCCATTTATTGATTCAGAGGAGATGTGCCAAATAAATCTATGCTAAGTTTAGACTTGGGTATCAAAGAATGGTATCACCTGTTTTTCTTTTCCTGACAAGTGTGGGAAATTTTATTTGCATATTTGCATGAGTCGTCAGCTTAATGGAATCACAGTTTACTTTTGGCACTTACGTCAAGTCTGCTTTGTATCTCCTCTAGATCTGCTCAGGAGTACTGCCACAAAATTCTACCTCAATTTAACATACGTTTCCCTCAACAGCTATAATAGCGCTTGGGAAACAAACTTATGTCAAAACATTAAAGGAATCATGTTAATTATGGACAATAAAAGTTACATATTCTTTTGCAAGTTAAGAAAGTGCCTTAAAAGTAATTTAAAAATTATAGTCTGTGTGCCTTTCAAGTGACACTCTTTGAAATGACTCAGGCAAACAGAAAAAAAAATGTTTCTGTGTTTCAAAATAATATACTTACAGGGTCAGTAGTTTAAAACAGAATCTCTGTTTCTTTAGAACACAGGCATCATAATTCATTTTCCTGAATATATCTAACACATTCCAATCTTATTCCCACAATGGGAGTCATAAATGATATCATTATTCATCATACTTAAGTATGTGAAAATACTTGATAGCATATTTAACGTGCATTTAAAGTAGTTCTGTAGTTCATTAGAAAGATGGTTAGGGGCAAATTGTGAGAAGGTATTAAACTAGATAAATATTTTTTTTCTTGTCTCTTTTCCCACCTCCATCAGGTAAAGTTAATTCACTTTTTCCTACCACACTAACTTAACAGAAAGACAAGAAACAAAAGAGCCTTACCTGTTTGACTGCATTGTCATTTCCTAAACCACAGTCTGGACCAGAGCAGACATAAACATTGGGTGGTAAATCATTGTAAGAGCTCCTGCTGACAGCTGAAGAATCTCTCATATTGAAGTAAAGAGCCCACAGAAGTCTTGGCTTTTCACCTTCTTCGTTTTCTAAATGTAGACATAAATTTTACTTACATCTAAAGCATAATCTGCCTGTCAATTACAATAATGTGTAACTGATTACTAACAAAGATTGTATAAATTGTAATAATCAGAGCTTTATATTAATTCATAAATCTGCATCCACATACTTAACATGTTTATATGGCAAGCAATAAACTCGGCTTAACTCCAATCTTGTTCCCTTGTATTTCTTTTATTTCTGCTCACCAATATGAAGGGGTTTATGATAATATTCATCTAAAACTATGTTTATGAAGTGAAAAGGTAATATAAGTTGATTTTCTTATGTTTTACAAGGACAAACTAAATTAGTAAATTATATTGTAAACCAGCAGTGTAAATAGGATTATGAGATATTCAGAATAGGCAAATCCATAGACACAAGTAGACTAATGGTTACCTGGGGCTGGAGAATTGGGGGTAAGTGGGAGTGACTGCTAGTGGGTATGGGGCTTCTTTTTGGGGTAATTGAAATTTTCTAAAATTGACTGTGGTGATATTTGAGCAGTTTTGTAGCTATTTAAAAGCCACACAAATTTATACGTTAAGTGGGTGAATTGCATGGAAATGATTTATACCACAAAGGATCAAAACTTCAGTATCTAAACTCACTGATGCTTTCATCTACTGGGTTACAAAATTAATGGCAATCAATACAACAACAAAAATAGAGTTGTAAAAATTAAAGCCATTTTGAGCACAATTCTCTCATTTAACAGTGAGCATTTACTATGTGTATAGGAGCTAGGGATGAAGAGATGAAATATATAGTCCCTACTCTTTTGCATTTTTATGTTCCCAAATACAAGGCTTAGCACATACCAGAGCTTGATGAATAACTTTTTAATTGGTTTAAATCTTAAATTTCAGGTATAATCAGAGTATGATATACTTATCAAAAGGTCCAACTTTATTAACTTCAATACCTAAAGCCTTTTCTTTGCCAGCTTGACAATTATTCCTCTGCTTCACTTCCTTAAGAAATCATAATTAAAGTTTATTTGGCTGAAAACAAAAAATAATGCTGTTAATATACCTATTTAGTACAGAGTTTTCTTTGAATCTAAACAAAAACTCAAATTTTGTACAATGTTTATAATAATCAAAATGAAGGACAATCACGTGGCACTTGTGAACCATAAAGAATGCTAAAGAAATAATTACCCAATTAGCTTTTACTGCTTAATTGGTAATCAATGTAGACAAATTCTCAATCTACACAAAAATAACTGCAATATTTAAGTGACACAGTACCTCATTCTACAATTCAGATTAACATGTTCCTATATTTATTTTAAAATGTCTCCACTACAAGATGTCAGATGTATTAATTTTTGTAGCTCATCCTAATAACCCATAATTATTAGTGTGCTAGGACTGAAGAAACTTGAAAAGAAAGAAGTGATCCCTTACAATGCCCCCTTTAAAACGCAATGATTTATGCATCTAAGATACCATTAATTTCATAAGTACAAAATAGGTAGCAAAACCCATTTATTGACAAAATAATGGAACAGAAGGAACTAATTTCATAAATCAAATCCTATGGTTGAGTTTAGTTTCACTACATTTTGTAAAATTAAGCAGTCTGACTTAAAACACAAAATTCCAGGAGCACTGCAAAAAAAGTGGGCTAAGGGTGGAAGTCTTAATATTGCCTAGTTCATTTCTAAACTTACCTTGTATTTCATGAAAGATCCAACTCAAAGGAGGGCTTTCACTTAATACAAGTTGGGAAAAATGAATAATCCAGTAGATTATAGGAAATAAATTTTGTAGCGGTTGAGGCTTTGAAAGGAAACTATGAAGAAGATGAAAAGTTGATATAGGCTAAAGATAAATGCTTGGATACAAGGGAGTTATCAGGCTCTGACCTTAAAGCCCTCAAAGAGGAATAATTGCTTCATTTTCTTTGAGGTCAGTTGAAGGCAGAGAGATAGCTAAAGAAATAACATGCGGTTGTGAAGTGCACAACTGTCAAAAAATACTAACACTGACAAGGTTTGGCTAGCAATATGTCACCTGGCCAGAGTAGAATTGGTGTTGTGTAACAGTGTATTTCATTCAATTAGATGGCATGAAGGATTAAACAAGTAGCAGATAATTTAGAATAAAATCTTGAGCAAATTAAAATAGGGTAAACACAGAATTAGGTAGGCAGAAGAAAATCAACAATGGCATACCAAATAAAAGAAAGATATACCTATGATTGCATCCCAAGTTTAGGGTGAGAATCAAGTATTTTAATAACACTTGACAAGACGCATGATACCGAGAGAGGAGACCATGCAGCCCTGATTGAGTCTGGATACAACAAATACAAAAACAATTAAGATAAGGCATTTTACTTCTCAGTTCAACAATTACTTAAGCCCTTCCCAGTCACCAACTTAAAAATAGCATATAGAGAGGGAATTTGTTTTAGGGTGTGCTGCTTTTGAGATAATAATCTATATGCTGTGCAGAATGGAAGGAAAAAGGAAATGGTATAGTGATAATAAAAAATTGTACATATTTTAAGATATAGTACTAATTCTTCCAATTTGTAGTGAAAATCTCAATTTCCTGAGTAAAATAAGAAAAACCACTTAGTATAGTTCTACCAGTGAGACAAGAGCATGCTACTCACTTAGTGTTTTAAAGGTTATTTTGGAGTCTGGAAGAATTAATGCACATAAGGTGGCAGCAATAACCTCATTTTCTCACATGCATAATCAGGCTTATTAAGCATAAAACACCTGAAATTTGTTTGGAGTAGGAAGAATAGAAGGGTTTAGACACCTCTGATACTCTTAAAGGAGGTCAGGAGGTAGGATTCTTGGAAGTATTAATACAACTATCGCTGGAGACAAAGCATTTGTAAAGAGCTCCAGGTAATGCCTTAAACATGAAAAAGTAAGAAAAAGGGAACACGTTCATAACCCTACAAGAATTTCTCTGATACCTTTGCAAAAAAAATACTGCATTTGAGAAGACATTACCTTATATACCAAACTTTCTTGCAAGGTTACTTTCACAAAAGGCTTATAAATTATAACACCCCACAGAACACAGAATCACCCCGTCACGCAAAAAATCAGCCCAAATAATGTTTTTCTTTTGGTACATGTTTTAGGACAAAATATCTACAATGCTATAAAGCATATATTTCTTATTGTTGCCAAAAAACTAAAACACAATAAAAGCCCTCAACATGTAAAAATAGGGGCTTTTGCTCAGATAAGTATATGTTTTAACATATTAAAAGTTCATATCGCTCATAAAGTTCCTACTTCAGTTAGGCAGGAAAATGAATTGAGTTCTCTTCTCCAGGTGACTTTGCCTCTTTGACCTGCCATGGCCCAGTGCTCACTTTATCTGGTGATTCATTTTCAATAACTCCAACAGTATTTGTTCTGACATTTTAATTAAAATATGACCACTACCTCATCCTGATGATAAAAAGGCCTATGTGTCATTGAAAACTAGCTTTTCAGTGCCTCAGTGCACCTGAGGACCCCTCTGAGCACATAGTTCTTACTAAAGAATTTCAGTCAGGTTTAAACAATACATCATTTCAAAATGGGATCACTTTAACCATTAAGATTAATGTTTAAAAATCTAAAATGGCTAGAGGATGCTAAGTAATGAATGTGTAATTTCCACGAGCTTGATTTTTTAAAAAGGATATTAAACTCATTTTAAAAAGTGAAGAGTAATGAAATAAGATTCAAAATTAGTGTATTATCTGGGATTAGCACAAATAACAACAAATGCATAAAAAAACTTGAAATTCAGAAGTAATTCAGAGTTTTAAATAAGCAAGGCATTGCATTTAAAGACGAGGATAAAATCATGATATTGCCTTATGTCTAGAGATATTATCATGTCCCAAATTTTCCAATCAGTTTTATTAATAATCCAAATATTTATGAGACTCCAATGAAGAAAACAAATATGAAACAAATTTCAAAATAAAGTGAAGTCAAGTTTCAAATTATAGGATTTTATTCAGATAGCTAAGATTAGCTCTTGTGAAAAAACTGATTTGTTTTTTTTTTTAATTAGGAACAAATATTCAAATAAATGCCCCTCTATGTACCATCTCTGCTTAAGAAAATGAACAAGACACATCAGAGATAAACTGAAAGGAAAACAATAGGAGGGAGTAATAAAATGGTCACCTTAGCAAATGTACCAAAGAAAATGTATATGCATCAATGAGGAAATAAACCACAATTGAAATGGACATGCCAATCCTATAAATAAAATCATCCTTATTTCATAAAAATGAAGATAATATCAGACTAATGTTTGATCACTTATACACAAAATACACTATAATTTGCTCCATTCACTTAACAGTTTCTCCCCTACATAGTGGGGAGAAAATGCATGGTGAAAAAGCACTTTTTGTATCGAATCAATAGTGGCAAATTTATCTGGAGAAATATCACATTACTAAGCATGCATTGAAAGACAATCATTAGCTATGAAGAATTCCCACATTTGCCAAAATTTGAACCTCTCAATTGAATTTAAGTTTTTTTCTTAAATGAAGATAACTTTTTCTTATAAAGGAATTATAATGCTCTTTGTATGATATCTGAATAATAAAGAATATTAAAAGAAAAAGATCTATAATCCTACCAAACTTGAGATATTTCTTGGCAGTCTTTTTCTATATGTATATGTGTACTTTTGCACTTACATGTATGGGTTACATATATTTTCCCTTTACCATTATTGAGTTAATTATTTCTCCTCTTTAGGAAGAGAATGTGTTCAATCATTGTAGTAATATATGTAAGCACTCTTGCTAAATATATCACATTTCAGTTCAAGTTGCAGAAATCTTCATCAGATATCTAAGAGGAGCAAAAAGGTGGTTATATTACCTTTCCATCATGAGTCACTGATTTATTGTTCTTACCTATCGTCATTTCAGTATATGGAACAAACAATTTCTGCACAACTGGTTCTAAATCTTCTCTTGCTGTTTTAGAAGACGTACGAGTCAAATGAACCAAATCTGTTTAAGAAAAACAGTATTTTGAGTTTCTGCTTTTCACAAATTCACTGCGTATGCACATTCAAGGTGATATGCTGGTGCCAGGGGGAACAGAGAGCTCAGCAAGTCGTAGCTCCTACTTTCATTGAGTTTGTAATCTAGTGATAGGAGACATGAAGAATTATGCAATATGTTATGTGTTAACTAAACGGTTAACATATGTGCTAATAACTAAGATTACAGAAGAAGCAGTTTGATTTCACCTTGTAAAACTAACAGCAAAAAAGCTTTACATTTATTCATTGAAAGAGCTTTCTTTATCTTTATGACATTCCCAGAGTGAGTAAAGGTTTTGTTAAACAAAATACTTATGTCTAAAATACTGAAAGTAGGGTATACATACAGACCTAGGAATACACTTCATAGCTTACAGCAGAGGAATCCATTCATACAAATAGTACTGTTAACAACAATCACCTAGGCCTTATAAAATCTTTTGGGGGTACACTGTTAGCATTTAGATTTCTTACAGGCTGATATACACTGGTAAAGGAGGGAGAAAAAGTTCTATGTACTAAAAGAAAGGACTTCTCTAAATGGGAGAAATTCTTATGGTATTGGAAAAGGCTTGGGGTGGGATTGAATAATGACATAATAATGTCCTAACGGTGAAAAATTCCTTCCTCTAAAACACCAGCAAATGGTCTACCAACCTCTATTCCAAAAGTTTAACTCAGACTATTAGACCATTTTTCCATTTCTAACCCAAGCAGATAATTCAAATTTTATCATGAAAGTCAATATATGAAAAGGTTTCTCATTACTCAAATTCATTGCACATAGGATCAAGGTGACATCAGAAGTTTCTTGCTTTGCTTCTGCAAGAATAATCTAAAAGTAAACCAGACTGGGGTACATCTAGAGGACTCCATGACTTGGGCCTGGAGGATATTTTAGACATCAGAGGCAAGCATACACTGCACCAGAAGGGAAGCTGAATAGATTCATGATTCATTCGAGAAAAATGTCTGAAGGCTGCAATCTGTAATGAGGAGGCTGATACATAAACCACTGCACTGCTACTTGGCAAATGCACAGCCATTATGAGGAGAGTTGAACTGTGTGGACCCCACAGGCTACACTGAACTCATGAAGCCTGCACTGAGAGTGTACAGCCTGAAGAGTCTGGACCCTTAAACAGGAGGGATATTGATGGTACCCACAACTATGAGCCAGCCTCTCATCCCTGCAGCACATTTTAAAATATGACTGGACCCCTCCAGCACCAACCCTACTCCCTGAGTCAGCAGCAGCAAGATAAGCTCTCCTGGTATAAGCAAATAAAACTACACATCCAACTGTTAGATAAGTACAAATAATGAAAATTTTTAAGTAATTGTGACAGACATGTTTAACAAATTCAGGAAACCTAAGGCAGCAAAATGGACAGACAGAACTCAAGAAATAATGACATCACAAGGAAGGAATAGCTCTTTCCAGAATAGTACCACAAAGACATGGAGAATTTACTTTCCTATTACAGTGTTCAAAACCACCATGATGATAAACAAAAAGTAAAGAAATAGAAGAAAATGCAGAAAAGCAAGTTAAATTCATACAGGTGAATATTGAAAAGCTAATCAAAGATTGAACTACATTCAAAAAAACATCATGAGATGTTTATAAAATTGATAAACAGAAAATAGAAATTGAAGATGTAAATGAGAAAACAAAGGAGTTGCAGGATTTTAAAATAATTTCATTAAGACTGATATTGTATACAATATCTTTTCTTACCACCATGGTATCAAAATAGGTAATCAACCACAAGAAACAGGAAAAAACTCTTAATAGGTGGAGACACAACACTATACTAATGAATGACTACTTGGTTAATGAGGAAATCAAATAAAAAAATAAAGAAAAAAAATTCAGAGACAAAAAAAGTGAAGACAAGAGATTTCAGATCCTGTGGGACAACAAAAACAATGATAAGAGGGAAGTATATGGCAATACGAGTCTACATCAAGAAAAGGGACAAGCTCAAATAATCTAACCCTACACCTTATGGAACTGGAAAAGAACATACAAAAACCAAAAACCAGCAGAGGGAAGGAAAGAATAAAAATTAGAGCAGAAATGACACACAAATCAAAGAGAATCAAATAGATCAGTGAAACCAAGAACAGGTTGGCTGAAAGATAAATAAAATGAATAAAACCTCCAGCTGTGCTCATAAAAATGGGATAACAAACACTAATAAATACAATCATAAATGAAAAGCTACAATATATTTCTCAGAAATAGAGAGGACCATAAGGGACTGCTATGAACATCTATATGACAGTAAGTTAAATAACATAAAAATGGTCAAATTCTTAGAAGTATACAACATCTGAAATGAAATCAGGAAGAAGTTAGAAAGCCTCAACAAACCAATTACAAGCAGTGGTCAAGTTTCTACCCAACCCCTGCCCATGACCTAAAAAAGAAAAACTCAATAAAGTCCAGGACCAAAGCATTTCACTCATGAGTTCTACCAAATTTTCAAGGATAAATTAATACCTATCCTTCCTCAACTCTTTCAAAATATTGATAAGAGGGAATGTATCCAAATACATTTTATGAAATTAACCTTACTCTGATATCAAAATCAGACAGGGACATCAGAAAAAAAAATTATAATCATTATCACTGGCTAACATATATAAATAACCTCAACAACATCTTAGCACCCTGACTTCAACAAAACTTTAATACGATTATCCATCAAGTGGGATTTATAATTTATTACAGGGACACAAGGAAGATTGAATACAAATCCCAGATTAATGTAACTTACCATGTGAAAGATAAAATTCATGAGTTTATATTAATAAGATACTGAGAAAACATGTTAAGATTCAACATGCATTTACAATAAAAATCCTCAAAAATATATATAGAGAAAACATAACACATCTGAAAAGCTAATAAAGGCCTAAAATGACAAATTCACTGATAATGACATACTCAATTGAGTAAAACTGAAGGTTTTCCTTTAAGATCTGGTACAAAACAAGAACATACACTTCACCACTACTATTCAACATACCACTGGAAGGCCTAGTGAGAGCACCTAGGCAAAAGAAAGACACAAAAGTATCCAAATTGGAAAAGAAGTAAAACTATGACTATTTGCAGATGACATATAGAAAACCTAAATACTACACTAAAAACAACAATTCAGTATAGTAGTGACAGTTTACAATATCAACTCATAAAAATCAGTAGCATTTCTATGCACAATGAACTAGAGAAAGAAATCAAGAAAACAATATCCATTATGACTGCATTAAAAATAATTGACTACCTATGAGTAAATTTAACAACAAAGGAGGTGAAGAGCATATACAATGAAAACTATAAAACATTATTAAATAGAGGAAGAATCAAGGAAATGTAAAGCTATGTCCTATTATTGGACTGGAAGAACAAATATTGTTAAAATGTCCAGAGCAATGAAATACCACCTCACACCAGTGAAATGGCACATATTAAAAAAACAAGCAACAATAAATGTTGGCGAGGATGTGGAGAAAAAGTACTCTTCCTACACTGCTGGTGGGAATGCAAACTGGTCCAACCACTATGGAAAACTGTATGGAGGTTTCTCAAACTGCTAAACATGGAGCTTCCATATGACCCAGCAATTTTACTCCTAGGAATCTACCCAAAGAATGCAAAACCATTCATTCAAGAGGATACCTATACTGCTATGTTTATAGTAGCACTATTTATAATAGGTAAGATATGGAAACAACCCAAACCCGCAAAAAGAGATGATTGGCTTAAGAAGATGTGGTATATATACACAATGGAATGCCATTCAGCAATCAAAAAAGGCAAACTCATGCCATTTGTAGCATCCAAATGGAGCTGGAAGGGATTATTCTCAGTGAAATAAGTCAGTAAGAGAAAGAAAAATATCAGATGGTTTCAGTTATAAGAAGAATATAGGGGAAATAAAAGAGGGATCAGAAAAATATAATAAAAGAAAACAGACAAAATGAGAGACATTCTGGAGGGGAGGGGTTGAGGGAAGGCTCAAAACAAGGGAAGAGCAGAAGAGACTATGGTGATGGTGCATGGGTGAATTGGTGGTAGGAATTTTAAGGAAACTACATCTGAGAAAATAAATATTGTAAGAAAATGAACAATGATATAAAATATATGTAAGTAAATTTTAAAACAAAACAGCTGTGTTTTAGACATCTCATACAATGCAACAAGAAAAAAAAATTAACCCATTTAAAAAATGGGCAGAAGAGCTAAATAGAAATTTCTCCAGAGAAGACATATAGATGGTCAATAGAAAAGAAAAAATGCTCATCCTCACTTATCATCAAGGAAATGCAAATCAAACTCCCAATGAGATACAATGTCACATTTGTGGAAATGGCCCAGAAACAACAAGTGCTGGTGAGGATATGGAGAAAAAGGAACTCTTGTACACTTTCAGTAGGAATGTAGACTGGTCCAATCCCTATGCAAATGCAGTATGGAGTTTACTCAAAATATTAAAAATAGATCTACTATATGGTCCAGCAGTTCCGGTCCTAGGTAGCTTTCCCCCAAATTCAAAAATACTAATTTGAAGATGATAGAGGAAGGAATGCTGGGGAGGCATCACAAGACTGAGTCACACAAATGGGATGGATAGAAGGGGTCAGTGCAGCAACAAACACAGCCATAAAATCAAGGTTGAAACCTGGTGTTGGGATGCCCAGGGATGCCTGAATATCTGCAGGTGTTCCCAGCAGATAACAGACTGCTGGGGGCTGTGCCTGAAGCTCAGACCCAAGAGGTGAAAGATAAGGATATTGAGATGAAGCTCATCAGGAATCTCTTTCAGACTTTATTCAAAGTCAACAATCCTAGACTCATAGGGAGTGACCCCCTCCCAGGGAGAGGCTGTCTATATCAGGGTAGTCTCTCCACCAGCACAGGGCAGACTCTCCTCTGCCCACCTGTGACTTTGC